CCTCTGACATTCACATAGGCAACGACTGTAACAGGCACGGCTACAAAGAGCTGCATTCAAAACACACACACAGACTCTAAAGTGCTGCTTTTCATATTAGCTCAAATTCTTTAAATATTTTAGCTTTTTTCATTTTTCCAATCCAAGCTCCGCACATTTCACTAGTTTTAGCTTTAAAAGTGGAAAATATGACCTTACGCTCCCTCAATAAGAGGAGGAGAAGCTGAGAGAACACACACACACACACGAAAATCACAGCAGGACTTAAAATGCAGTTGAAGAGGCAGCTCAAAATAAGCTTGACCCTCTAAACACAGAAGAGTCTGGACTTGAACCAAATTCATACTGTGTGTGTGTGTGTGTGTGTGTGTTGCTGCTGAATGTTTCAACTTCTGCAAAACAGTAATCAGAGCAGCAGTTTTAGCAAATACGCTTATTTGGGGAATTTCAGTCTTTCACTCATTATAACAAGTGAATAAATCAGTGGCAAGTCAACTGCATTCAGTTCTTTTTATATCATTTATCCACAAAAGTAGAAACAATTTAAATGATTAGGGTTGAATCGATACCGATACTAAACACGTTTACTGCGCTCATAATGCGATACCAGCATCCGATACTATGTGACGCAAGTCTACTGAAATCAAAGCAGACTACAAACTGCTCTGTGAAAATATCCAGAGGAGCTCCTACAGTATCTTCCTACAATACATAAAGATTGCTCTTTTTTACAGCCACTGTGCAAACCAGGGAAGCATAAACAGAGCTAAATAAAATGTTCTGTGACATCCCTGATTAATTAACACTATGTATTTTACTAATTTTGTTACTAATATATATTTTTTTTAATCAATAGAATGGGAGGCTATGGTACCTCAAATAACCACTCTATACAAAAATGGTGAGCTGAAAAGCATCTTAACATGTCAAACCTTGAGGCGTATTGGCTCACAACAGCAGAACACCACACTGGGTAACACTCCTGTCAGCCAAGAACAGGAATCTGTGGCTACAGTGGGCACAAGCTCATTGAAACTGGACAGCTGAAGACTGGAAAAATATCACCGGCTTCAATTTCTGCTGCGACATGCAGATGGTACGGTCAGAATTTGGTGTCAACAGCAAGAATACATGAACCAAACCTGGCTTATGTCAACAGTTCAGGCTGGTGGTGGTGGAGTAATGGTGTGGGGAGTATTTTCTTGGCACACATCAAGCGCCTTAATGCCAATCGAACATTGTTTGAAAGCCAAAACCTATCTAAGAATCAGTGCTGACTATGTGCATCTCTTTTTACACAATTTACCCATCTCGGAATCTCAAAGGAACATTTGGTTAAAGACATACCCTATAAATTTTACAAGTCCAAGTTAAACTGCATAAAATATCCTCAGACACACTTTAGTTCTGAACCAGTTTCATAACTTCATGAGCCACGTCTTTTGTGTCGACTTTGGCACACACACTAACAAAAGATGACCAAAATGGTCAGAACACTTTGGCGCTGTCTCCATGGCAACCGCATGGAGAAAAACAGGAAGCGGGGACAGTTATTACCCACGATGCCGTGCGGACAGACGCTCCAGATGGATGCAGAGACAGAAGAATGCCAAGAGAAAAAGCCGCCTCTCACTCACTCCTACTCATCCTTGCAGATACAAAGAGAGAGACATAGAAATACAGACAGCTAGATAAAAGAGAGCTAAAAGTAGGTGTGTGTGAGTGTGTGTGTGTATGTGTATGTGTGCGCACTATAGAAATAGAAATAGGTGGAAAAACTAGAAGTTATTGCAGCAGAAGAGGTACTGAAGACCTTTTTCAAGGAAAAAAGAGAACAAGACAAAGTGAGACAGAGCTAAATGCAGGGAGTGAAAGAAAACATGATGAAAAACCCAGAGGAATGCGGATGAAACGAAATGAAAATTGCACATATGTTTGAGGAACAGAGAGAAAGATAGACAAACACAATTGGGGTGTGAGTGTAAACTTCCTGCAGAGTTCAAGTATCCGATTGTGAGGCACAGAAACGAAGTGCGTGTGTGTGTGTGTGTGTGTGTGTGTGTGTGTGTGTGTGTGTGTGTGTGTGTGAGTGAGTGAGTGAGTGAGAGAGAGAGAGAGAGAGAGAGAATGTGTCAGTATGGTGAGGTTTAAGCCATCGAAAGTCAGCTGAAAGCATGCATCTCATTTCAGCTGTTACATCCAGCCTAGCTGTCCAGAGTACAGTCCATGCAGAGTAAAAATGAGGGTAAAAACTTTCACTTTCTAGCTATGCTTCTTAGATATCTTTGGTTAAAAATGGATGAACATTCAGAAACAAAAATGATTTAGTTACAATTTGGGGGGGCGGGGATTATCATCAGTAATCAAACCTGCATGACAGTCTATATCCTGTCATGGAGACATCAGCATGTGTCGATTCACCCAGACAACAATGTGAATGCAAGATACACTATATGGCCAAATATACCAGTTGGCATTCCAAATATTTGCAAAGGTGTTCAGTGGGGTTGAGGTCAGGGCTCTGTGCAGACCACTCGGGTTCTTCCAGTCCAACCTTAGCATGTCTTCATGGACCTCGCTTGGGGTACATGTCATGCTGGAACTGTCATGAGGCACTGTCATGCTGGAACAGGTGTGGGCCTTTGTAAATCCATCCTATACAACTGTGTGCTTTGTGGCAACAGTTTGGGGAAGGCCCACATATCGCGTGAGGGTCAGGTGTCCACAAAATTTTGGCCATGGATGGAAGCTCTTCAGGTGGGGCCCATTTACAGTTAGCCTCACTGAGAGCAACTGAGATTCATTGTATTCTGGAGATTCTGTGTATTCATGTAGTCTTCAGTGTCTGTTTTATATTTGTGTTTCTTGTATTCTGAAGAAACTCTCCATTCCCATACATGGAAAAAGAATTTGTAACGATGTTCAGTTTTCAATGGTACATAACACACATGAGAACTATTTAAAAAAAAAAAAAGGCTCAGGCTTGAGACTCCTCAGAGTGCATGTTTTGGAGCTGCAGTCCTGTGTGTGGTGTCTGCACAGTGGTGCCCAGATCTGGGAAGGGTTTGGCAAGGCTCAGGTGGACCTCTTTGTTGATGCCAAGTAAACTCGTTGCCCAGTGTGGTTCTTTTTGGCCTTCTGAACTGGCCCATGACTGGCCTCACCATCTACTGTATTCCTGTCCACCTTGCTCCACAGAACCCAGTAACTAGGCCACAGCGTCCTACTTGTTGTCCCAAGATGACCAGCAAGACTTTGATTTTCACTACTGCTTTTTCCCCTATAATGGTCAAAACACCATGGCAAACATCCTCCCTGAAGATGTATTGGTTCCTCATACTTAGTATTTCTCAAGTGTGAAATAGAACGCTAGTTAAATATGCAGATTTGGTTCAATGAACCCCAGATAACTGCCAGGGTTACTTGTCATTCTGAACCATTGCCAAGTTGGCAAGAGATCTGTGAGAAGGTTCCAGAGAAAGATGGCTTTATGACCATGGTATTTATATCAAAGTCTGTGTGGGAAGGTTTCAGCAGTCACGCACACTTGCACAACAGCGTACCAGGTTGGTTCTCAGTTGGAACACTGACTTAACACAAATGCAAAAGGAAAAGTCTTGATAAAGCAAATGCAGAAATACTAACCCCAATAATTATGCAATTATTACTTTAATGTGAAATTACAAAATCACAGTCAACAATGAGGAAATGCAAATGAACATTTGTATTGTCGGTCAAATCTGTGTAAAAATGTGTATAAAACAGACTATACACTCCCACTCAGCCAGGCTTAATACTTCCACTGTGATTTCACCTCACCCAGCATGCATCTTGTCTCGTATAAACAAGGAAACGTGAAGCATTAATTACCATGAATTAATTAGCTTTCATTCTCTTCCAGGATGTTAGGACACAAAATAAACAATGACTAATTTATTTTCAACGACCAGATATTATCTAACAGCACCAAATTACTGGTAAATTGCTGTCAGCATTTCACACATTCCTAAACTTTGTCTGAATGCAGTCAAATCTAGGTTGATACTGGGACTAGTTTTAGACTGCTTTAGCAAATATTTACTCTGGTTTACTGAGGGATGTAAACCCCAGAGTAAAACTGGTTGGGAAGAGTCAAAAACCAAAGCTAGGACAAAAGTAAAATTAAAAGTAAAAAAGGGTTGGACAAATCTGTAGCCTGGACATCCAGGACAAGCCAATTTCGTGTCTGGATTATTAGATTTCAAATCATAGATGCTGAGTGGACAAGAAGGTTCAACAATCAGAACAACGGGGGAAAGAAGAAGAAGAAGAAAAAAAAGAGCCCTAATTAGCATGGATGACTCACTTCCCTCCTCCCACTTTTCTCCCTAATCTGGTCAACACCCAGCTCTCCCTATTGCACAACAGCTACCAAATGGGGAGCGTGAAGCCAACACAGGCTTCCTCTGAGAGACATGAATCCAGCCAACCGCATTTTTCCAAACTGCTGCTTATGCTAAGTCACAGGGCAGCGTACAACACTCAGAGGAAAACGCTGTGCCCTTTTCATCATACATGAGCTCACAGATGCCTGCTACTGGCTAGCATCACTGTGATTGACATGGGGAGAGAGAGTGAGTATGCCATCCAACCCACCCAGAGAGCATGGCCAATTTTGCTCTCTTGGCCCCCTGGCCACGGATTGCGGTGGCACAGGTCATAAAAGTCTGATATAAGGGGCACCCCCTGGTTAAACATATCAAGATGTAATGAAGATGCTAGCCAGACTCACGTATATCTTACATGTTGCTCAAGGACAGAACAGCACGGCTCATAGCTGAAACGTTCCCCAAAGGCTTGTTAACTTTTTTTTGTGTATTAAACACAATGTGCTACATTAAAAATTGGGCAAAAAGATGATAATCATATACTTGCCTGTATCCCTTAGTCTGTATTAATGCACTTAACTAGCAAAATAGCTCACCACTTTTAAGCCTGGTCACTAAGGTTGCCAGGTTGGGTTCCTGATGGTCTAGCGGCTAAGGATCCCGCGCTCTCACCGCTGTGGTCCGGGTTTGATTCCCGGGCAGGGAACCAACCCAGACCCGGGAGTGTACCTCTGTGCTGGTCCCAGCCCTGGATCAAACATGCAGACCAATGATCTGCTGTGGTGACCCCTAACAGGAGCAGCCGAAAGAACAACAACAAGATTGCCAGGTTCTGGGTAGCACACTGGAGCTTTTACATGCCAGGTGAGCTCGCTTCTTGGATCAGTTAATAGATGTTATAACCCATCTTCAAAGCATCAAAAAAAAAAAAAAAAAATGAAGCAGAGAATGTAATCTCTCAACAATATCAATTACAGTGTAAACTACTAAGCTCATCACCACATCCTGAATTCCGTATCTTCATCCTCTTTATTACAGAGAACCAAGATTTCCTTTTCTTTTCATTATCTGTACATTCTGCATGTTGACAGCCATCTACATGAACATCTGAAGATTATTGAATTTACGCAAATTCAGCATGATTGGCTGATCTTACACTGAGGAGCAGTCATGAAACGAGAAACACCGCTGTGCTGAAACAGAGGGTGAGATGAAAAGAAAACGAGGCAACAGAGTTCACTCCCACAAGTCTATACACGTTTTCGAAGGCATGCACAAGACGCCAGACGCAATGTAATGTGTGCACGTGGAAGGGAGAGACTCATTTCTTGAGTCTTTCAATCTTGCAGTGAGCTCAGCTCTTCAAAATATCACATTCCTGAACATTTAGAGAGACATTATCTGTGCTTTATTGGCATATTGACTTCCACTGATGTAAATACACTTGTGGAACACCAACCGGTTGGTCGTTACTTCATACTGGGTCATATGGAGCTTGAGCAGTACGATATACTGACAGTAAAATAACCACATAATGATCTGTAAATATTTAAGAAGGATACTAAATGCTCTGTCTCTGCTGCAATAGTGAAAGTATTCACTTGATTAAACTGAAACTTGAAATTGAGGCTTAAAAGGATTAGCTGCTCTTCAGCAGTTTAATGACAACAGTGTAGGACATGATTTTTCTACAAGACATCGTGTTCTACCCTGTAGCTAGTATTTATACTTGTAGAAGCAGGTCTGAAGTACCGTTTCATACGGAAGTTGATCAAAAACACAAGTACAGCATTGTGGATTTGTCCTCCAGCGTTACTTGCATGCAAACTGCTGAGTAATGCATCTGTGCAGAACAAGCGTAGCGTTTCTCAGCAGTGTGAGCGTCCCCCAGGAAGTGGACGTGTTTGGCTAGAACATGTTTGAAATGAGGATTAAAAAATGTTCAGCATTAGGATGGACATTTTAATGCTCAACATTTCATTCTAATTCAGAACTGTACCTGTATTTGGTTAACATTTTGATTATTCCTCAAAGTTCATCAGATCTCTATTACTCTCTCTCTGTCTGTGTCTCTCCTTCTGTCTCAGTCCTTCTTTCTCCATCTCTCACCGTCTTCCTCTCTCTGTCTCCGTCCCTTTTCTTCATCTGTCTTTGTCTTCCTTTCTCTGTTAGTCTTTATTACTGCATCTGTCTGTTTTTCCTCCCTGCCTCTGTCTTTCTTTCTCCCCATCTGTCTTTCTTAATCCTTGTTTGTCTTTCCTTCTCCATTTGTGTTTGTTTCTTTCTGCTTGCCTGCCTTTCCTTCTCCCTCTGTCTGTCTTTCTTTCCTTTTCCCCCCACTCACTCCCTTTCTCCGTATCCGTCTTTCCTTCTTCCCATCTCACTGTCTTTCTTTCTCACATCTCACTCTTTCTCCCTCTCTCTCCTCCATCTCCTCCTTACGCCCTGTCTGTCTTTCTTTCGCAATGTCTCCATCCTTCTTTCTGTCTTCCTTTCTCCGTCTGTCTTTCCTTCTTCCTGTCTCTCTCTCCCCATCTCACTCTGTTTCCCTGCCCCACTCCCTCTCTTTCTCACAGTTTCTCTCAGTCTTTCTTTTGCCATGTCTGTCATTTTCTCCCCATCTCGCTCTTTCTCCCTGTCTTCCTCCCTCTCTGTTTCTCCCTGTCTGTCTTTTTTTTTGCCATGTCTCCCTGTCCTTCTCTCTGCCTGTGTGTGTCTCTCTCTCACTGTCTGTTTCCCCACACACACATGCGCATATGCATACACTTTTAAACCACCATAAAGTAAATTTCAGAGAGGAGAAAAAAAAAAAAAAAAAAAAAAAAAACGAGCCGAGTGAGAAAACATTACAATCCAAAAGTAGAAGTGAAACATTCCAGTCATTTTACAGTCTTACGTAATCAAGCGTGCACGTTTCTCGCTCCGCCCGAGTCTGAGCTTTAACATCCTCCAGTCATTCAGCAGTCATCATTCCTGTCATTCTCTCAGTGTACTGCGTGATGAGACCTTTTTCCTTCTGGGTGCATTTTAACTTTAATAAAAGACTTATTGCTTCCTGGAAGTTTGCGTCATTTATGACTTTTCCTTTAGTGTGAAATTAGTATTTGAGTTTGTGTGTAAAGAGACAGGATGTTAAGACTTTGGAATTTCTGGCAGAATTCTGGCAGAAAAATGACATCGCAACCTAAAAATATTTAGGAAAGATATTTCATAACATGGAGTGTAATGTACTCTTACACTACTGTGCTGATTAATCTAACCGATTTCAAGGCTGTATCCCAAACCCCACAATGCACCAATGGTGTAGTTGCATACTATTTAGTAAGGTGGCACAGTGTAGGGCTGAATGTTGAATGTAACCACTTTCTCCGAGGCTGTTTGAATCTCTGGGGTCTGCTAGCTCTGTCAATTAAATATTAGAAAAAACTATAACACTATAAAGGTTGCTTCCAATTTTTCACACAATATGTTTAATATTTAACACAAAAGTTTGTCACAAACAATATAGTGTTAGCACGCTAGCTAAAACCCACACCAAAAGATAAAAATCATCATAAGAGATGAGAACAGGCCTCGAATCACTCACTCTCGACTGAACTTGAAATACAAAAATGTGTGTGAAACTCCTCAAAACCTCCCGTTATTCACTTCCGTATATAATACGTTATCTATACACCTGGAAAACAGCTTAAAATCCATCAGTCCTGAATCCTTTTACCTTGTATAGCATTTCATTCTCTGTCTCCTAATTGGCTGTAGCTCCTGCCAATCACACTGTAGCAGACTTCTTTTATGCCTAAAGTCAGGGCTTTACCATATATCAGCTGGTTAATGAAGCCAAATAACCTAAAATCCTGCATCACATTAGCTAAACTAGTGGTGTTCTTTCACATTAGTGCTACTTCATTCATCTGGCTGCCTATTTTCTCTGAAACCTGCTATAAGCAACATTTAAAGAAAGATCCTTCCAGCAAAAGCTGTCAGTTTGAGTCATGGACATTATTCGACACTTTTGAATAACTGTGTGTTTAACCACTAACAGTGGTTCATTTCTGGTCAATCTGAACTCCGTCTAAAATAATAGCTTGTCTGTTAAAGATCCTTGCCTTTAGCGAATATAGTCATTTTCCACAGCAGTGGAGCTACTGTCTATCTGATCCTCCCACATTTCCACCACACTGAGAGCTGTGTGTTTATGTAATAAGCAATGCTTCTGCTTATTAATATGCAATAGCCACACTCTCGTCGCAAAAAGAGGCACTTTACTGAGTTAAATACATAATAATATAGTGCCTTTTTGTTATGATAAAGTGCTTATTTCCTAAAAAGCCATTTTTGATTGCATTTTATTTACATAACTTTTTCTTTTGCTTTCAGAAAATATTTCACTAGAAATTGTTAACACATGCAACCATAGCTTTTAACATAGCTGTATAGGATACGTTTTCATGCTTGTAGTAAAAAGCACAAAGTGCTGCATTTTTGTATTTTTCAATGTTGAGTATGAGAAGTGCTGAACTATTTCAGATTGCTCATGTAAGGGGAACACAGAGGCACGGCTCTGTTCTCAACATGTAGCATTCTTCCTCAGAACATGGCAGTAATAATGATTAATAATGGAAAAAAAAGTGAGGTAATAAAAATGGACTGCATGTGAAAGAACTGTACCAAGGATACAATAGATTTCATTTTGAACTGAACATGAGTGTGATCTTAGTATTATAAACGTCTATCCGCTATTTGCTCTGCACCCACACAGAGCCTTAAAATACTTAATAAACTTGTAAACAAAGAATAGCCTTGTTCACTGATGCAGGTTTTGAGTTAGTCAGCCCATCTGTCCAGGGTCTCTTGCAAACTTTACAGAGCAATAAAAATTCCTGACGTCATCGGTTCCACAGCTCCAAAAGCAACAGGTCTCTGAAAATGGAGGAATTCGGTGTGTCAGAGAGCTATTTTGTGGCTAATAAGTGCAGTTGGTTTGAGTTTGAGATATTTACATTGGACTGTATGTGAAAAACACATTAACAACAACAACAAAAAAATGCAACAGAAAATCAGAAGACAACAGACAAAAAAACAAAACAGCAGCCAGGACTAAAAAACACCACAAAAAAGGCCAAAACCAAAAACCAGTAAAACAAACAAAACAGTCAAAACATACAAAAAAGTCAAAGCCAAAAACACAAGACCAAAGACACCACATCCAAATCCAAAAACAGACACAAAAACACCACAACAAATGTGAAAAAGCAACAGCAAAAATCAGATATGCATCAACATCAAGTCTAAACGGAAAGGGTATGTTGCTTATTGAACATCACATCGCAGTAACGCTTCCTGACTGAACAGAAAGTCTTTAATATGAACCATTTTGTAGAATACATTCATCAAACGTATATCAGTATTTTTTCTGAAAGGCTGACAGTCGCTTTAGACATGTCGATTTTAGATGCCAAATGTCGACATTATTCGTAAAGAACTTTACTAAACCTCTATATCAGCAACTGATAGACGCGGTGCATCGTTAAAGGAACAGTAATAAAATACACTGAATAATGATAATGTCTATGAAAATCTGACTCTAGCGTTTGCCAGTGTTACACCATGTCATCCATTTTAAAATGGTTTCATATAAAGCGGTGCACTTCTACTCATTAACAAGCGCGCTTTTTACACACACACCTTGTGCTCTCGTTTCATTGT